GATCAGTACCCTAGGCTATTGATACAGTCTACCGAGTACTACAGAACAAGTAAGTGACTGAACCCTAGGCTATTGATACGATCTACCGCGGACTACAGGACAGGTAAAAAATCAGTACCCTAGGCTATTGATACAGTCTACCGAGTACTACATTACCTGTAAGAGTCCAATACCTTAGGCTATTGATACAGTCTACTGAGTACTACAGGACAGGTAAGTGACTGAACCCTAGGCTATTGATATAGTCTACGGAGTACCACAGGACAGGTAAGAGATCAGTAACCTTAGCTATTGATACGGTCTATTGAGTACTACAAGACAGGTAAGAGTCCAATACCCTAGGCTATCGATACAGTCTACCGAGTACTACAGGACAGGTAAGTGACCGTACCCTAGGGTATTGATACAGTCTACCGAGTACTACAGGACAGGTAAATGACTGAACCCTAGGCTATTGATAGGGTCTACTGAGTACTACAGGACAGGTAGAGTCCAGTACCCTAGGCTATTGATACAGTCTACTGAGTATTACAGGACAAGTGAGTGACCAAACCCTAGGCTATTGATACGGTTTACCGAGTACTACAGGAGAGGTAAGTGACCGAACCCTAGGTTATTGATACGGTCTACTGAATACTACAAGACAGGTAAGAGACGAATACCCTAGGCTATTGATACGGTCTACCAAGTACTACAGGACAGGTAAGAGTCTAGTACCCTAGGCTATAGATACGGTCTACTGAGTACTACAAGACAGGTAAGTGACCAGAACCCTAGGCTATTGATACAGTCTACCGAGTACTACAGGACAGGAAAGTGACCAGAACCCTAGCCTATTGATACGATTTACCGAGTACTACAGGACAGGTAAGTGACTGAACCCTAGGCTATTGATACGGTCTACTGAGTACTACAGGACAGGTAAGAGTCCAGTACCCTAAGCTATTGATACGGTCTACTGAGTACTACAAGACAGGTAAGTGACCAGAACCCTAAGCTATTGATACGGTCCACCGAGTACTACAGGACAGGAAAGTGACCAGAACCCTAGGCCATTGATACGGTCTGTTGAGTACTACAAGACGGGTAAGTGACCGTACCGTAGGCTATTGATATGATCTACTGCGGACTACAGGACAGGTAAGTGACTGAACCCTAGGCTATTGATATAGTCTACAGAGTACCACTGGACTAGTAAGAGATCAGTACCCTAGGCTATTGATACTGTCTACTGAGTATTACAGGACAGGTAAGTGACTGAACCCTAGGCTATTGATACGGTCTACGGAGTACTACAGGACAGGTAAGTGACTGAACCCTAGGCTATTGATACGATGAACCGAGTACTACAGGATAGGTAAGTGACCGAACCCTAGGCTATTGATACGGTCTACCGAGTACTACAGGACAGGAAAGTGACCAGAACCCTAGGCTATTGATACGGTCTATTGAGTACTACAAAACAGGTAAGTGACCAGAACCCTAGGCTATTGATACGGTCTACCGAGTACTACAGGACAGGAAAGTGACCAGAACCCTAGCCTATTAATACGGTCTACCGAGTACTACAGGACAGTTAGTGACTGAACCCTAGGCTATTGATACGGTCTACTGAGTACTACAGGACAGGTAAGTGACTGAACCCTAGGCTATTGATACGGTCTATTGAGTACTACAGGACAGGTAAGTGACTGAACCCTAGGCTATTGATATAGTCTACGGAGTACCACAGGACAGGTAAGAGATCAGTACCCTTAGCTATTGATACGGTCTACTGAGTACTACAGGACAGGTAAGAGTCTAGTACCCTAGGCTATTGATACGGTCTACTGAGTACTACAGGACAGGTAAGTGACCGTAACCTAGGGTATTTTTTCAGTCTACCGAGTACTACAGGACAGGTAAGTGACTGAACCCTAAGCTATTGATACGGTCTACTGAGTACTACAAGACAGGTAAGTGACCAGAACCCTAGGCTATTGATACGGTCTACCGAGTACTACAGGTCAGGAAAGTGACCAGAACCCTAGGCTATTGATACGGTCTACTGAGTACTACAGGACAGGTAAGTGACTGAACCCTAGGCTATTGATACGGTCTACTGAGTACTACAGGACAGGTAAGAATCTGGAGCCTAATCTGAGAAAAGATCCTCCGAAGGTAAATTACTTTACCCAGTGCATAATATAGCTTGAAGTTTTGAGGTAAATGTTTGTGTCTGTGTTAAATTTATGATTTTGCATATTTTGCATCATTCACCATCTGATAAATTTTATTTCAGAAAAAGAAAAGAAGTTCTTTTTTATATAGTGATTTAAGGGGAAGGTAGCCAAATTAAGCTACATTTTGCATGGCATTTAACTCAGTTTTGAAAATTTAGAAATAGTTGTTCAGAATGTATTTTCCAATGATTTTGCATGGTATTACTTTTGACCATGTACTCCTGTGACCTCCCTTATTGTTTTAATTTGTATTTGCTTACTTTTAAAGAAACCATTTAAGATATTTTTATTTAAGCATGCATTTACTGTAAACCAACTATTATTTGTGTGTGAGAAATATTTGTGTGTTCCATGAACTACTTTTATTTGCGAATAATATTAATCACTGTGAACCAATAATTTTGATAAGTATTTGCAGAAAATGTTTTCTCAGTCACAAAAATTAATTGTAACTGAATGATTCTAAACTAATGAATCACAAATAAAAATGACGCGAATAATAGTTGGTAACAGTATACAAAATTTGGTAAGAATTTATCATCTATATCAAGTTTTTAAGGATTCAATTTAAAGATATTTTTCAAGATATTTTCATGAAACGCCATACACTAATACAACTTTTCATATTGCATTACTTATATATTATTCTCGGTGGGATTGATAAAACTGGGTATATTGTTATGTTTTTCTCTTTAAAAGAATTTTTTTTATAATGTGCAAGTCATTTGGAAAATGTGCTTTAGATATTGAATATGATTTAAGAAGGAATCCAATTAAGATATTTAAAACTAAGTATTTATTTTAATGAAAATTTTATTTTCTGTAAAAAATCATTTAAAGCCCATTCTTCATGAAAACAAAGTACTTAAAAAGTAAATTTTTTTAACTGTCTTCAATCACTCCATATTTTGATAATTTCATTTCATAAAAAAAAGAAGTTCCTCTTTTATATAATACTGTGTAATCCCAAATTTTCGTCAGGGTTTAATTTTTGTTGTTTTTGAGGTTTAAAGAGACCCACATATTCATGTCCACCACGAAATTTAAAATGTTACATACAAAAGAACTCATTAAATCTTGATCCAGGAAATCAAATCCCAACGAACCAAGAGATTTTCCTCAAACACCGAAAAATTTGACCTCACGAAAATATGTGATTTTACAGTATAGGAGAAGGTAGTTGCATTACAATGCAGGTTAATTATTTGTAGATCTAAATATATATTGTAGTTTGAATTAGTCTGAGAAATTCAAAATTGTATCCCTAATTGAAGATTTTGAGGATATCGTTTTTGGTCTGGCAATCTGTCTGTTTGTCTGTCAGTTAAAACTTTAACCTTGACCTTAAATTCTGATTGGTTGGTACTACAGATAATATGAAAATGTCTTGGAAAATTTGTTTAATTCCATGTACCTATACTTTTCATTTTTCAGTATAAAGTACTGTATGAATTCGATATCTTGAGTAGCTTTGCTTGGTTTCGAAAGTAGCTTAAAGAGCAAAGTTTATCCTCTATTTAATGCATTTTATCCTTAATTAATTTTTCAAATCCTGGGATATCTGTAGTGTTTAGTTTCCAAATATATATATATGGGGGAGGTGGGTACAATCCACAGAAATGCCACCCTTGTGAATACTTGTTTATGTTGCAGTTGAAACAAATTAAATTAACACAAAGAGGAGTGATATGCCTTTTACTCCTAAGTCAGGAATGGGGTATGAAAAAAGTTTTTTATGAACTTAAAAAAATCCTTCCACTCATACATGTTTGAATACCTGGAGAAAAAATACTGTCCAAGAGTTATGTGTATAAGAGTTTTCATTAATACTTATAATAAGGACCAGAAACTCATAAGAATGCGGCCAGTATTGCTGTATATGACATAAATCAAGACATAAGACAGATATATACAATGTAGTTTACAAAACTGCATGGAATGCTCTAGATAAAGGCCCATTTTATTGATAGTCATATATGTAATTAGTACATTTTTGAATCAGCTTTAGTCATGTAGTATGATAATGATTAAATTTTAGAAGCATGAGTTTGCCTCTTACAAAAAGTATATTTATGTCTATACACATGTAGTGCAGTCTATATTACAGGTACAACACTTACCTATATTTTAAGGTCATTTAAATATATTAGGTGAAATATTGTTACATGTACAAGTATCTGTTTTGCACTTGGCTATGAGTATGTTTTGGTTAGCCTTCAGTTAAACATTTGAACATCTTTGGCTGTTGAACTGTTCAAACATTTTTAATATTTACATGTAGCTATAAATATAGTTGGATTATGATTTCATATATACAATTCATACATTAAATTTGTACTATATAAATTGAATATTTCAGGTATGGAAAATCAGAAGACACTGTAAAGGATAATGTAGAGTAAGTAATTAGAGTAAATTACAGTGTAAAATGTATTTTTGTTTTAATTATGGCACATTAAATGTGTCTATATATATGTAATATTTGTATCAATATAGTCTTCAACATGTTCATGAAAATTGGTTTTTCTATACCTTAATACTTTAAAAGAGTAATTAATGTATTAATTTATGAAACAATTTAATACTTTCTAAGCATTAAATTTATCGATATTATCATTGAAAGAATACTATTTCCATTGCATTTGAATCAGAAGACACAAGGCCGTTGGGAGCAAAGTCAACGAACTTGAAAACAATGTAGATACTAAGAACAGGTATGATAATGTTGAGAAAATGGAAGATGGCATCATTGAGAACAGAGATGAGGAAGTTGAAAATGAGGCTGTATCAAGCCAGAACAGTGAGTGATCAATATTTCATATCAAAGCTTTTAGAAATAAAATTTTCTTGTACATTTTAAGTGATTAATTGTTAGTACACAGTGTAAATACTTCACTTCGTTCTTCTCCCTTCAGGAATACAAACAGATTTCATAAACAGTCACGTGAGTAGAACAGAGCATCATTTGTTACATTATTATCATAATTTATTAAGTGTTAACAAATAACAGGTAGATTAGGTTTAAAAAATTATCACATTATCTTGTTCAAATGTCAAGTAATTTTTTTTTATTAACGTTTCAGTTGTAAAAAAGTAAATGTCGTAATAATTTCGGTTTTTTTTTATTAACGTTATAGGCGAGCTATTAAAAGTATGGATTTATATTGTCCATCTGATATATAAGCTTATTAAATGTATATCGAGTATATACGGTATTCATTTAATTTCCATGTAATATGCAGGTAAACAGTGTTCTTGCATATTTGAAGGAGATAATGGACTGCTCCATACAAGACTGGTATATAATTAAAATAATGCTTTTGTTTCATTGCAATACCATTTTTTTTTTAAAATTCAAATTCGAATGTCCAGTCATCTTGAATATTTAATTTTACAGTGAAGAAGTTGATCATGCACGTCATCATCAATTCATAAAAAATCCTTATTTGATGTAAAAGGAGTTTACAAAAAAGTTCTGTTTTGGGGAGAAATTTATAAGCTCAGGGGTAAGTATACATTTATATTACTTTGTGGGATTTGGGATGTAATCTGTCACTTTTAATTGCTCTATCTGCTTTTGTGTTTTATTGTGCTTTGTTCATGAGTCACATTGTTACACCTTTTGAAGGTTATGGAGCATCTACAAACAGTGCTGACAGAAAAAGTGTGTGTCAGCAAGCCAGTACCTAGGTAATTTTGCTAGTTTCTCCTTAAGTTTTTTATTTAACAATGTATTGATTTTCCTTTTGCACTAAATTCATAAAATGACTTTCAGATCCATCTTCAAAAGATACAGTTCATATCAACACCTGCAAAATCAACACCTGGAAAATATCCTGATAGAAAACATGTTGTATGTTTTTGTTCTTTTCCATGAAATTTGAGCCTCTATGTACATGTTATTTTCACCTTATTTGCATGGGTCATCTGTGGGAATAATTTAAAAGGGATATAAGTTAAGATTAACTCGTATCGCTTTGTATACAACTGTGTGTGAAGAATTATTTGAAAGTGTGAAAAAGCACGATATGTAGATAATAATGTTTCAAAGTAAATAATATATAAATTTAATTTTGTATTTTGAAGCAATGCAATCTTATTTCTTTTGACCTCATTTAAAAATTTCTTATTTGCGTTTTTTTTATTTTCAGTATGGGTGTGTATTACATGAACCTGGTGTTGATTAAAGAGGCCATAGTATATCTCATATGTAAGAGAAGTGGCCTACCATATGAAGCAGCAGATGAGAGATGCACTCTCACAGAGCGATCAGTACAGGATCAAATTACTAAAAAATATACCTGAATTCCATTATATTTTAACTCTGATGACCAATGAAATTTTCATCATAACAACTACATCAATCATGATTTCAATATAATATTAAAAATCTTAGTATGTACATGTATAGGTGTGTCACATAAATTTTTCTTACAAATTACAATGCAAAAAAATTCAATGTATCAAAAGCTTAAGTACAGGTGTATCAATTAATAGTGTGCTCAGTAGAATGTATTGATAGCCTAATACTTTATAGATACAAATGTGTCACATATATTGTACTTGGTAGACTGTATCAATAGCCTAGGGTACTGGACCCTTACCTGTCATGTAGTACTCAATAGACCATATCAATAGCCTAGGGTACTGGACTCTTACCTGTCCTGTAGTACTCGGTAGACCGTATCAATAGCCTAGGGTACTGGACTCTTACCTGTACTGTCGTACTTTGTAGACAGTATCAATATCCTAGGGTATTGGACTCTAAGCTGTCTTGCAGTACTCGGTAGACCGTATCAATAGCGTAAGGTATGGATCTCATACCTGTCCTGTAGTATTCGGTAGACCATATCAATAGCCTAGGGTACTGGACTCTAACCTGTCCTGTAGTACTTGGTAGACCGTATCAATAGCCTAGGGTTCAGTCTCTTACCTGTCCTGTAGTATTCGGTATACCATATCAATAGCCTAGGGAACTGGACTCTTACCTATCCTGTAGTACTCGGTAGACCGTATCAATAGCCTAGGGTATTGGAATCTTACCTGTCCAGTAGTACTTGGTAGACCATATCAATAGCCTAGGGTACTGGAATCTTACCTGTCCTGTAAAACTCGGTAGACTGTATCAATAGCCTAGGGAACTGATCTGTTAGCTGTCCTGTAGTACTCGGTAGACCATATCAATAGCCTAGGGTATTGGACTCTTACCTGTCTTGTAGTACTCGGTAGACCATATCAATAGCCTATGGTATTGGACTCTTACCTGTCCTGTAGTACTCGGTAGACCGTATCAATAGCCTAGTGTACTGGACTCTTACCTGTCCTGTAGTACTTGGAAGACCCTATCAATAGCCTAAAATATTGGACTCTTACCTGTCCTGTAGTATTTTCGGTAGACCGTATCAATAGCCTAGGGTACTTGACTCTTACCTGTCCTGTAGTATTTGGTAGACCGTATCAATAGCCTAGGGTAATTGACTCTTTCCTGTCCTGTAGTATTCCGTAGACTGTATCAATAGCCTAGGGTATTGGACTCTTACCTGTCCTGTAGTACTCGGTAGACCATATCAATAACCTAAGGTACTGGACTCTAACCTGTCCTGTATTACTTGGTATACGGTATCAATAGCCTTGGGTTCGGTCTCTTACCTGTCTTGTAGAACTCGGTAGACCGTATCAATAGCCTAGGGTACTGGACTCTTACCTGTCCTGTAGTACTCGGTAGACCGTATCAATAGCCTAGGGTACTGGACTCTTACCTGTCCTGTAGTACTCGGTAGACCGTATCAATAGCCTAGGGTACTGGAATCTTACCTATCCTGTCCTGTAGTACTTTGTAGACCGTATCAATAGCCTAGGGTACTTATCTCCTACCTGTCCTGTAGTACTCAGTAGACTGTATCAATAGCCTACGCAGTACAGTTAAGGCAACACATGAAAAAAATATGGTAATGAAGTCATAATGAGGTCTGACGTCATGACAGTTGCTCCGCCCTGATTAATCTATATAAGGAAATGGTGCTTAAAATTACTTATTTACCGATATTGGCAACAATTTGTAATAAACAACAATATCTTCATGTTTTAATAGAAAATAATTAGTGATTTTCTTGTATATAAAATAGCATGTCTTTGAAATAATTCTCTTTTTAATCAATCGTAACTACTCGGCCATTTCCGTGAACGATAAATAACCTCGTAAGCAGAGAGGAGAAAACCTTCTTAAATTATTCGCCGGAAGTGATACCGCATGTATAGTTCCCCAACATGGAGGAGAGTCTCGAATTTGCTCGGAATAAGTTGGGAATTGATTTTTCGCTAAAGGAAAAGCAGTTGGAAACTCTTAAAAATTTATGGGAGCGACGGGATGTTATAAGTGTGTTACCAACTGGTTATGGTAAAAGTGTCCTGTACCAATTACTCCCGTGGTTTTTACAAGGCGAAAGAGAAAGAGCTGGGATCGTCATTGTCATTGCCCCCTTAACCTCGATTATTGTAGATCAAGTTTCTTTCCTTTCCTCTAAGGGGGTAAAGGCCTTGTGCTTGAATTTTGAAGGAACCGGGTGTCGTTCCGCGGATGATGAAGAAGAAACTGTCTCGAAGGTACATGTACACCCCTAAAACGTACATATAAATCGATCAGATATTTCATAGGTCCGATACATAGGGTGCTCTTGTTATTATGTTTGTATTTTAGTATATATCTATTTATATATTTTAACAATTACACAGTTTCCCTATGGTCCGGTACAGTCAATAGAAAATAACACACACCCCTAAACATGATGAAGCTACAGCTGTATAACTGCACTTAAACATGTTAAATGGTCTTAATGGAAGAACTTCAGATATTGGGAAAGTATTTGTATTAAAGTCAAAACTACTAAATTTGTACTAATGAATACAAAACTCACCAGGATCATTTATCTGCAGTCTTTTATACTTAATGAGAATGCATTTAAATTCAGGTCGTGGTGTATTGCTTCAACTAGCCTAATTATACCAGGTAGTACTATAACCACTATAAAGAAAAAAAAATAAAAGTATAAAAAAATTATTTGTTGTTGTTTTCATTTAAAGCTGGTCACAAAAGACATGCAGCGTATCACAGATGGTGATGTTGAGATCCTTTACAGTCATCCAGAAGCAATTTTCTCTAAAAAGTTTGGTAGAATTCTGCGCTCAAAAGTTTTTCAGGAGGGTGTCTGTTGTGTGACCATTGATGAGGTTCACATGATAGAGGAATGGTAAGGAAATACAGAAATATTCCATTAAAAAGTATAGGCCTATATCAGTCCCTCACATGATAAATGACTAAGGTAAAATTATTAAAAGGCAAAACATCTCGCATAACTCAAGGACATTCCTTCATTAAAATGATATGAATTACTAGTATCTTAAATCCTAGCTACTCATCCACAGGCACTTGTTCCTTATATGGAGCACCCCTACTTATTTTTACAAAACAAGTGCCTGTGCACTCATGGGTCATCCTCATTTGTTAGGTGACCAAATACATGAAATAAAGCACAGTTAATCTTCTAAAGGTTTGCATGAGTTTTTCCTTGAACAAAATATATTTACAGGGGAGAAGAATTCAGACCAAAGTTTAAGAAACTTGGAGACCTAACCTGTTTGTTTCCATCTGCAGCACATTTATCACTGACAGCAACAGCGACTGAAACCTCAATAGAAAGTCTTGGAAAAGTGCTACAGTATATAAATCCAGTCATTATCAAAGCCAATCCCGACAGGCCAAATATTTTCTTGGAAAAGATTGTGCGACCTCCTAATATTAACAAAGTTAAAAAGTTGGACACAATTATTGAACCTCTGTGTGAAGAGCTTAAAGAGAAGAGGGAAAATTTCCCTGTGACTATAGTTTACGTGGAGAATTTAGAATCATTGGGTTACTTTTATCAGTATGTGAATTCAGAATTAAGGGAGCATCAGTATGTAGGTGAACCAAATCCAGAAAACCGTATCTTTGCACAATTCCATAAAGATTATACAGAGGCCATGAAAAGCCATGTGATAACGGAGTTAAAAAAAGGAAAACCCTATACTACGTTTAGTATTTGCAACAGTTGCACTCGGTATGGGTTTGGATGCCAGGTGCATTACCAGGATCATCCATTGCAGACCCCCTACAACACTTGAAAAATATCTTCAAGAAATTGGAAGGGCTGGTAGAAGTGGAGCCCAGTGCACAGCAGTACTCTATTTCAATAATAATGACATTGCCAAAAATAGAAAGGGACTAAGTGAAGAAGTCATACAGTATTGTAAAAATTCTGAAACTTGCCTCAGACTTTTTATATTAAAGTACTTTGGATTTAACAATTCATTATTCTGCGGACCACCAAAAGATTGCTGCAGCAATTGCAGGAGCAAAAGTTTGATGTGAACTTAAAAGGTAATTTATACAAATAATTTAATTTCATGGTGATTGTAAATGATTGAAGCTCCTTAGTACAGATCTGTACAAGCACATACCCGATATACACAAAATTTCAGTCTTCCTCCTCCGCAGAAAATGTGTCAGACTCTTCACCGCTTTCTTGTTCTTCATCCTCATCATCTTCCGGTGGAATTGGAATATCCCTCAGCAGCCTCTTAATGGTATTTTTTACGGTCACTTTAAACAGTGTTTGATCAAATGAAAAAGGTGATTTCTCGAAACCTTTGAAGGAATTTAATCGGCGTTCCTTATTGTAAATCCAGGGAGAGTTTTTCTTCAAAACTTTAATCATGGCCCCAATGTCCTCCTCTGACGACCTTTTCTTGTGACTTGTGTTAATTTTCTTAATCAGTGTCATATTGTCATAATTTTGTACAATTTTTTGTATGACAGGAGCTGCTTTAGATATAGCAACAATGGAGTTTTCAGTTTTGTTTGCTCCTAAACCTCTTATTAAATCTTTTAGTAACTTGACCTCATTTTCTTTATGCATATCTGCTGCCTTGTTTTTTCCTTCACCTCCATGAACATTTACAAATGATGCTGCACAAACACTTAACGCAAAATCCGGGGGCAGAGTGATTTCCGTTTTCAGAATATAATCTATGCACTCGGTAAAGTATTTCGACAATGCTGAATGAGAATAGAAAAAGGGAATCATTTTTTTTCAAAATGACATTCATTCTTTTGATATCACCTTCGTGTACAGTGTCTTGAAACTGAAGAACTACAAAATACCATTGCAGGTAATTCATCACATAATTATGAAGGTCATCTTGATGGCCATTGTCTGGATCTGTGCACTTTATGTAGAGTTCCACTCCATTGACATCTAATTTGCATCCTCCCCTCACTCCGGATAAAGAAACTTTAATGTGAAAAATGTTTTCATTAATCTTGATAGGTACTGTCACTATTTTGTCAATAACATTTGAAGTAACATTGAAAGAATGTCCTCCAACTTGTACAGATATGTTGACTTTGTTGGGATCCTGTGGGAATAAAAAAAGATTTCTATAACTAATGTTTAAGAATTTTGCTAAGAAGGAGCATTTCAAAGTAAAATATTTTTTTTAAAATCATACCAGTAATTATACTAATATCATACTGACCTGAGTGTTAAATGGAATATACAGGTCTGCAAGAATTTCATTGAGCAGAACATCCAAAATGGCCTTTTTTCTTGTCAGTTGAAGATTGGAAATATTATCAGGAACAGCATCATGCACAGGTTTGTCAGACAAATTGGTCATTTGAAACTTCTCCATTATATAAGTCAGGAAGCATGAATGACCCACAGAAGTGAAGAAATCTTCATGTGCCTATTTATTAAAAAAAATAAATAATGAATACTGAAATTATCATCTGACATTGGAGATTTAATAATCTTTTTTTTTTAAATAAAAAAAAAAACAGTAAACATTTGATCTTTTTTAATAAATCAGTACCTTAAATCTACTTTTCACATTTCCATTTACATTTGTTCTTTGGATTTCAACTTTAAGGTTAGCCAAAGTTCCAACATCTCTTCCTTGGTTTATTTTCAAGAACTTCTTGCACATTTTCTGTAAAATGAAGTGTCTGAATAGGAATATCTAATACATGTCATATAAAATGTTATTAACCAGATGAGAATGCAATGCACATCTTAATTTTAGACTATAATAACTGGATGAAAAGGTTGTTGGACTTTACCTCTATAAAGTCTTGTAAAGTGTGAAACAGCTCAATGATGATCGGGTTAAGTTGTTCCATCCGCTCTTGTATTGTATGGCAACCAGCCATACTTTTGCGCCTTGAAATCTCACTCTTGTTAACTGGTCCCCACCTACAGGAACTTGGAGTCCATCTAACTCATTTGCTGTGAGAAATGAAGTTGATCAATTGATTCTAAATACTAGATTTATGTATTCACAAATTTTTCACAGGTAAGTTATATCACTTTTTTCCCTAGAATTACTGTATTAAAATAAGACATAATCATTAATACTCTCTTAAATAGGTTATTCATATTTAGAAACAAGGAAATACCTCTGCCTGCTTTTCTGTACCATTTATTAATCCATTCAGTATATTCCTGTAGTATCTTGAGACAACCTTCATATGAACACTCATTGTTCAAGGACAGGGGCAGGGGATGTATTGTCGAAGGATTGGCCATTTCCTCCTGATACATATGGGGAATATGTCCAGGTATAACCTTTTTAAACCACTCAAATGCAGGAATATTTTCTGCCATGACCCTACCAAGAAGAACTTTCAAACTGTCTTTATAAATTGTTACTTCAGTGTCACTAAGAAAAAAATTATTTATGTCAATATCTACATCTGGTGCAAACACAGCAGGTGCCTCCTGAATAGCACAAATTTCTGGCATCACTCTGTCCATTACAAAATTTGAAGCAAAGAAATGGTAGTGCTTGTCTTTGTTGGTCATTCGTATATCATTTGTATTGACCCTTATGTCCAGATTATCACCATTAAATTTGCCATTTTTCCCACTGCAAATATCTTTAATCAAGTTTTCTTCAAGTGCTCCTCCTAGCTCCTTAATCAAATTTCTTTTTGACGAATCAGACATAGTGATGTGGACTTTATTGAGTCTCTGCATGAGCTATAAAGAATAAAGCATGCCGGTAAATAAATAATAAATTCTAATTACTGTAACTATACATTTAAAAGAATGCATTTTCCAATCCATAGATGTATTATAAGAATGTATTTAAATATGTAAATGTATATTTTTTCTTTCTTTGTTTGTTTGTTGGTTTTGTGTTTGTTTGAAAGATAGGGTACATGTATGTCAAACGCTTTTTACTCAATTTCACTTAAGTACCTTGTTATCTACATGATATCGAATTGCTAAAGTTGAATACATTCTTTGTATTCCAGAGGCAAGGGGGTCCCTGCTATGAAGGATCATGCCATAAATGGTGGCCAGTGTTGCTATCTTTTTCTCTGATGAATCAACGGTCCCTAAACACATGGATAAAACCTCAAAGAGAAGGGGGCAGGTTGACTGCATTTCATTAATGCAAGCCGCAAAGATGTCGCAACCTTGTAGAATATCTGCTCCTTTTTTAAGAAGGACACTTTTCCTCCCATAAATCAATTTTTCTAGTTGTTTGTTGATTATTGAAGTACAATCACTGAAAATAAACCCAAAGAACAAAAATATTACAATTTCTAATCTTCAAAAATGATGTTTATGAAATTTCAAATTACTGTACTAGTAAATAATATGAATATAATTGCAATATAAATTTAATTCATATATAAGTATTTTAAGAAAAATGTGCTATCTTTATCTTTATAATCAGTTAATTACAAAATAATGAAGACAATGTTTTACCAAAAAATTATTTAAAGACATGAAAATTTTAAGTAATGGGTTTCCAGGATTTGAACCTGGATGTTCTCAACTGAATGGCTGAAAACATGCCTTGATACCCAGTATATATATAGTGAATATATACCGGTAGTATAGATATTTATGTATTCTACAAGTAATTACATGCAATAAATATTTTTCAATACAAACTGTTTCAACAATGGATCTCCATAAATTCGATAGTTCTAATTGGCATATATTTTCCTTTGCTACAACAGCATTCCTTACATGTGATAACCCTTCACTGGGAATAATCTGGAGAGATTTTTACGTGTTGAAATTCAAACAGCTGAAAAATAAATAACACATGCGAACTAAACTAAAATCAACAAATGCAGTGGTATATACAGACACAGCATAATTGACAAAAATTTTACTTAGATGGAGGAAAATTCTAAAATCAAAATAACAATTTGACTGTATATACCACTACATGTAACCAGGAAGCATATAACTTAATAAGTCAACTTCAAATTAACAAAAAAATAACAATAAATACTTTAAAGTAGAAATATCTTGACTTTGCCTTGCTGGTGCATAAAAAAAAAATCAGTGTTCTCCAAGTAATTAAAATTTCATGTCTCAGTCTCTTTTTTTATACATTCAAGACTGAAGTCTCTTCTTTTTCCAAAAAAAAAAAAATCATCAGTGAGTGTATAATATATATGATTTTTTTTTAATCATTTTTTTCACACCTTATCAACACCCATTATTTGCATCATATACGAAGCACACATGTAGATAATGTCAAGATATTCACATAAAAAATGAAAGCATGGGAAATTATAAGCTTTACTAAATAAACTACTTTATACTTTTCAAAAACTGGATTCAATATTTTTTCCAGCAAACTGTCAATATGTTGTCACAGAATTTCTCTGACACAGTCTGTAAATCCTTAGGCGTATACGAGTGATCTGTTGACACAAAACGTAGTTTACGGCATGCCTTGGTAGAACTGGACTCCTCTGCATCATTTGATGAAACTTTCAACTTCTCCACAGACCTTTTTCAAAATATTTAATTACTCACTCAGTTCAATATTATTAAAATTTAAACCTACACACTTTTCATAGGGTATAGGTCATTCATTGCTTGTAAACAAAGCGTGTAAATTAAAAGTACCATATGAAATAACAATTTCAAAATATAAGGAAGTAGAATATAATAATACGTTATTTTTTTATCTCTTACTTCACCAGCTGGCCCCTCTTCTTTGTCTGACCTGACCTAAGTTGTGAGGGCGGTGTCTTTGCAGGTCGTTTACCAATATCAATGGGCGTGGTTGTGATGGTTGTTGTTGTAGATGTTACGGACACATTACATTCATTGCTTTTACAGGCTTTCTTAACGTTTTCTATAATATTCGGTATTGCAGAAAGAGTTTTAAGACAATTGTCACAAATATGTTGACTTCTAATTGGTGTCAGGTCCACCTCATTTTTCAGTAATAAACTTAGTATTGATTCTGTTTTAAACAAGACACACTTTTTGCTGGAAATGCAAAAATATTTGCTTTTTGCTGCCCCACAACATAAACAAATGGGATAGCTGGGCGCAGCCATCTTGTCTACCACGTGACTAGAAATAGTGCGGTGATTTGCCGATTCCTACACAGTCTGCGTACGAGGTTATTTCTCTTTCGGAAAATGGCCGAGTAGTTACGATTGTCTTTTTAATGTGTCGTTTGTCTGCATTCGGCTTCAGCCAAGCGCTTGCACTCGGTGACACGGAATGTTGTTTACATCTAAAAACGTCGCGACATCAGCTGAGATTTGCAGTGGATTTAAATGCAATAACCACACAATCTTTAAAGAAAATAGGGATAAAATAAGAGACAAGGCATTGCTTCTCCATTTTACAAGAATATGAGGACATTATTTCGGAAAATGTCAGAAAACTGAGACGATTTGCACCAGCTCAAGCTCCGTAGATCAATCACTGCACTTTAATCTAGGCCAGGTATGTATACGCATAAGTATAGGTACATGTGTAGATCTACAATATGTAGACATGCTTTTGTTAACATAAAAAAAAACCCGAGTGTGTTCATGTTCATTTAAATGTATTAGTACAGTCAGTGAAAAACTGTAGCCTAATTATGCAGTGCCTTGTGTGTAACAACCCCCCCCCCTCCCCCCTCCTATACTAAGTTGCACACTTTTTAGAATTATTAAAAATTAATTGCACTAAATATGTACTGAGTTCCTGTCAATTAGCTCATTTTCTTTGAGACAATATGTGTAATAATGGAGATCATCTGTAACACAAATTTAAACTAAATTGAATGAGATGTTTTCATTGTTTCAGTCAATGATTCACCAGTGACTAGGCCTAAACAAAGAATAATGTATTTTGACATACAAATATGCTACACAATTTAAAAAAAAATATCCGTAACATTGTGTTGAAAACATAAAAGCCCCACTTCAGATCAATGGTTGTAATTTTCTAGAATATCTAAATTAATGAAAAAAAAAATCATTTTTTGTTTAGATTACATGTACATGTACATTAATTTAAAAAATATTTGTATAATACTTTTATCATTGTAGCTGTCCAGAGTTTCAGGCGTAAAGAGTGAATAAATTAAAAAAATGCATCATTTCTCCACAGGGTATGTATACTTCTAAAGCATTTCACATTTTCAAAGTTTGCATGTGCTTTACATATTGTTTTTTTTTTCATTTTGGTAAAGGGGAAACTTAGAAAATTTTTTTATAGAAAATATTCTATCAATAACTATTGTAAATGTCAGAGGTTTCACTTTCCCAGAGAAGTTTTGTAATGTATTTTTTTTTTCATTTATATCAATAACATAAATTCACTACAATATACAATGTAGCATAATTTGTTATGTCAAATGTAATGCCATTTTATCCATTACAATGTATATTTAGTAATCTCATAGCATATAACTGCATATATATTGTGTTGTAGGCCTAGCTACTCCCAGATGTTGGAAAATGGATTCATTCAGGCAGCAAGTTAATCCATCATTTAAGGAAAATGGTATGCTCAATATAAGCTATAAACCATACAAAGTTTTGATAATAAAACCTAACAGAAGAATTGAAAACATGTGTAGCGGATAGTATATAGGGAACTAAAACTGCCTCGCCAGTGAGCTAGCTTTTCTGGTGATGCGGTAGAGTCTCCCTCTATTTCAGGCAAGTTAAGCAACGGCGAGCCTGTTTAACCCTTGGGTGGTTGACCGCTTCACGTTACACAATGTATGTAAATTCTAAGTTAAATGTTTCCATGCATTTTTTTATTTCATTTTTTAAACACAAATTACTTTCAATAATGGTATTTCCTAATTTTCTTCTATTTTCAGAATTCATTTTATCCACAAGAACATGAGATGATGGAAATAATTTGCACCTGCCCAGCATTCCTACAGTCTGTCATTGGATTTGAAAAGAAATGTTTATTAAATAAAATTGTCTAGATAAATAATAATTTGACTTTTTCATATATTAACTGTACAGGTTTTGAAAAGGCCATTAAGAAATGAATTTCTTAACTTTCTTACTATTTTGTGTGGAGGGTACTAATGAATATCAAGATCTTATTTCCAGCATGTGCATTGTGTTCATTTATCTTTCAATAATATTACCAAAAACAGGAGACTAGAGATCCCCCTAATTGTTTCAAAATAGGATAGGGGACCACCATTTGTTCTGAAGGAAAGGGGGTGGTGGTGGGGGGGGGGGGGGGGGCGAGTTTTTCCAAGTCAGATTTTTTTTTTCATTTTCATGTCAATGAAGAACAGATTAATATTTATTTCCGATCAATAAGATGAAGGACAGATTATTTCTTTATTCTCCTCTTCATTGAAAATCCTATATGCAAAAAAAAAAAAAAAAATGCAAAAAAAAAAACTTTGATTCGTGGGAGGGGGAGATCACTGATCTGCAAGTATTTATTTTTAAAATCTGCCAGTCCCTCACCCTTAAAATAAAATAGCTGTCCCCTTAACAAATACAGCAGTATACCCCAATTCTTTCTAATTAGTACCTTAAACTTATAACTTAGTTTATATCCCTTAATTAACAGTAAGCAGTCTGATTGAAAGCGATCATAGAACATTACCTCGTATGCAGAAAGAAAAAATATTAACACAAGTGTGTGTACCATAGGCGTCGGAAGCAAAATGAAAGCGGGCTGATTGAAAGGGGGGAGGGAAGGGGTTAAGCCAAAAGAAAAAGGCAAATTCCAATGCCTACATTATGTATATAATTTGCAAATATTAAGTACGGAGGCTAAGCCCCCCCCCCCCCCCCTCCTCGGTTTCGACGCCTATGCGTACAGTAGTGAGAGAGGGGAGATAGATCCTAATTAATTATTAATGAAGGCTATATTTTAATTAACCATTTGTGTTCTACATAAATATATCGGCAATATTTATACCTATTTGTGTGAAATACTACGTGTATATACACATCGTTGAGGAAATGCGGGAGGTTTGAAAGACATTAAATGTATACAACGTATGGAGAACGAATACACAGAAAAGAAAGAAATGTCAAGGATTTTTATGCATACCGTTTGATTTAGTAAAAAAAAGAGTCAAGTCCTGCCCGCATGTATATTTATTTTAAATTTACGAGGTGAACAAACTATATCAAGTACTCCAGAGTTATCTCCCATGCTGGGTCAGTTATGCGTTTGAAAACTAAATTTAGATTGACTCTTCCAAGATTTCATTTTTGATCAAAAAGTGCAAGGGCAAGGCGACAATCTAAAAAGTAGGTTTTTATTATAAA